ATCGAGAAATGTGGGAAATTTGTTGCAGAGGCTTTGGCGCTGAACCATATGAGCGCTTCCTGCATTCATTCGTTGATATAAATGGTGATCTGAGTGCCGAAATAATATTTGGCACAAAACAGGATGGTCGTTTGAAAATGGAAGCCTGGCGACGAAAATCAAAGTACTTTTTCTATGTATAAAAACTACACATTTCGTTTTCTGTAAAATGCTGTCTTAGATTAACTGTTATCAACTTCATTATCCGGTTTTGCCTTGGGGAAACAGTATTTTTTGCCAAATTTTGTCCAAAGTTTTTGGAATTCGCACGTTCAATTTTGAAATGTTTTTTGTTACTTTTAACTTATTTGAATTTAATAGAACGCAGTTTTTATGCGTTTTTTGCATCTATGCAATGCAGGAACTCATACTGTCGGGGCGGTTGTCTGTGTGTGTATGTCTGTGTGTGTGTGTGTGTCTGTGTGTGTGTGTGTCTGTGTCGATTTTTATTCGTTCCGACGGTGAGTATATGATTAATATTTCGTATTTAATAATATTTTATTAATTAGGTTTAGGCAGTCTTTTAAAAGTTCAGACATTTGGATAGTTATTGTGAAGTTTACTTAGAAATATTGAAGTTTGAAATATATACTATGCCTAAAGAAACATGTAATTGAGATTAAAATGCTTTGGCCCGTTAAATTATGTACGTCTTAACTCAGTGCTATGTCTGAACCTAAATTTTACTACTAAGATACCAAAACGTTCAACTCATTTCTAGCTTGCTTTTAAAATAATAGTTAAAAATGACAAAACTGTTCAGGGCTATGCAGCAGGGTAGATACTTTTGGCCAAATGCTACTACTAGGGCTATTTATGCCTGCATTTTATCTTTTAGAACAAGGAAAATACGACGAAATTTCATTTCAGCAATTCCCAATCCATGAAATATTTGTGTTTTATTTTTTGCAGTGAACTATGGGAACTGGATAATACACTGATTGCTGATCTACCGGCCGAATCGTGTAGCACAAATTATTTCGGTGCGGTACTATTCGCCGATTTTGATGCTGATGGTACCATGGATATTGGCCTGCCATGTTGTGCGGATGCGGCATGCCGAAAAGTCCTCGTTATCAATATGTGGAATTATCGTATTGGCGCATGGCAAGATTTCCATATCACAGGGCTCGAGGTAGGAAACATTTGTCATGATTATCGGAGTATTGTTAAAAAATGAGAAATATTAAATTGAAAAAGCCAAAAACATAGCGTTTTCTTTTTTTTTTTAGGTTTTTTCGTCTTCATTTCTCTTATAACCATCAGCTTTTCCTGATCAAAAGATCGATTATTTTCTTAGTGAATTATTGCTTTTAGTACATATGCTATCACTGGGGCTATTTCCGTGTGCTTCTGTCTTTCATACAGAGTGAATGTGGAGGAAATTTTGATTTTTGAGAAGAATGGAAATAAGTGTTGTAAAAATTTTAAAGATACAAACCGTGAATATTCCTGGCAAGGAGACTGAAACAGAACTGAGGCCTAGAATCTTCTGTGTGTTAACTTTTTGAAGGAAATCAAGGAAGTTTTTAGTTCGTATGAAAACCCGCTCTCTTTCTCTGTCTTCCACTTTTGAAGGACCAAAATTATTTGCATCACAACCAAGAACTTTGTTTTCTACTGAAGCCAACTCATTTTAGTGATGTGATTATTTTTAGGGATCTGATTTGGTATCGAAAAAAGATGAAGGGAATGTTGTTTTTCGGGTTGGTGATTTTTCCCTGGATGGATACCCAGATTTGATAGCACTTGTCCGAGAGAAAACACAAAATCCAATGATTTTGGAGAATGTACCGTGCACCGATTGTATTTCAAATGCTTCAAGGTTTGCTTTTATCTTTTAAACTTTGTACTTGCTCTTCATTTTCGCGCGCGGATTCGATTTCTTATAGTGGGTAAATTGTTTTTTTGTGGTTTCTTGGCCCTGGCTTGTTGGGATTGCAAAGATTTAAACATTTGTTACTTGGTGATCGCCTGCGGTCAAGTGTTACTTGGTGATCGCCTGTTTTGGTTGCTTTCCGGTAACACTTCTTTGTCAGGAACTGTGTGAGCGTTAACTTCAATTAACGTCAAAAAAATGTACCTTGACGAGTCGGCAAGAGGGAGTATTAGCTGCACGGAGCGGATACCGTAATTTAATAACTTTTTTATGTATATTTTGCTTCAAACGAAGGATATTGGGGTAATCTTGAAAGATATTGAAACGAGTTTTGTCCTTCCCTTCTGTCGGTCTTTTGCCCTTCCCGCTCCCGCCTTACCTTGTTTCAGACGAATTGCCTTCTCTCTCTCTCCCTCTTTTTTCTCTGCAACCCTCTTTATTGCCATATTCGGCGCCCTGAAATATTAGCTTTGGTGGTATTCTATGAAACTTTTTTAATCTGGTCCAGATGTCTAGCAGGTAGTACTTACAGTGCAAACTGCTTGAATGCCATTGTTGCAACGAATGAGGAGGCTTCTTTTGCAGGAGATTTGAGCTGCGCACAAGTCCACGACTCATACAACCGGCCGATGTTTCACTGGGACAAATTCAGCTTGCATCATTTTTTGATCTGAAAGAGGATGGAACCCTGGATGTATTGCTGGAATATAAAGATGCGGATCAGAGTATGGCTGTTGATTTCATCAAATGTGAAGATAAGGGTGATACAACGTTTCTCAAAGTACAAGTGTTCTCAAGCACTTGCGATCAGTTCTGCAGCTCGACAAAAACCAAAATTGGTTAGTTTCTTCGTTATCACAGTTGAGATTTTTCAGTGTTCACTTAGTGCATTGAGACCTAATTCATGCTAATTTTTAACTCATAAAGGGAAATACAAATCTTAGAATTTCAAATTTTAGGCCTTCATTGAATAGCACGACTCAGTTATCCGGATTTAGCCTTTATATATCGCTATATCCCAACCTTCAGTATTGTTTAAAGAATAGGTTCAAAATTTTGGGATGAGTTGCACCTAGAGGACCAAAATTCTGGACCGTTCGCTGTTTTCCGGTGAGCTTTTTGTGGTGGTAGCGTTTCTGTCAGGTCTAACTGATTTTTACTGATTTGTTTTGGCAGTAAGCGTGCCTTTTAAACTTAACGTGATCCTTACTGATTTCCCAATGGCTGGGAAGTTAAGAACGCTATCAGCTCGCCTCTCAGCAACCCACGGAAGAAGAAGAAGAAGCTAACAACTGCTTTTACCATCCGGTGTTCAAATTTACTGCCAGTTGAACTACTTTTGAAATGCCTCTACCTCTTATAGCAACTGAATTATGACATTGGTTGGTCAAGAAGTGCTCGATGAGTAACTTCGGACCTCAATTTTTATCCCTACTTTTCCGTAAAATCCCGTTTTTTTCGAAATTCTAATGAAGACATGCCAAAATAATGCTAATTTTTTTAGCACCATAATAGTGAAGGCATAAAATGAAAGTGGTAATTTTGTGCTTTAGAACATATTATTGAAGTGCAGACCGCATCCACATGCATTTAGGCATCCACATTCCATCTGTTCGGAACAGTTTACCGCAAAAAAAGCATGATTGTGCGAGTTTTGCGTGGCGCGAGTAACAGTTTTCTTTATTCGTAGCAGTTTAATAAGTAATATACGCTTTTTCTAGGAAGTGGTATTGCCTGGCACGGTGCTTGCGTAATGTTCAGTATGTCGGATTCGTGGGGCCATGATCAGGTTGGATCGCAGTGTCAAATGCCACAGACAACTCATCGCGCTCTTTCTACACCATTCTCATTGTTTGGTTTAGGGCGATCCCCAAATTTCGTTGATTATGGTAATATTTTTTGGATTTTTTAGCTGAACAGCATCAATGACTAGCAAGAAATAACGACGAAACAACAGCTGATCATAGTATCAAAGTAGTTAGCTACAAAGATTATTTTGGAAGGGGAGGAGGAAGAGGCCATTGAATTTATTCACATTAGCTATATGTGAATAAATTTAATGCGATGCGTTCGACAAACAATCGTTCGTAAATATTTATTGGGAATGAGCTGGCATCTACGAGATAGAGGAGAGGGGAGAGAAGGAGGGGGAAGAAAAAAGGGCGATAAAAGGAGCTGGAAAAGAACCAGGCTGGAACGCACCAGGCGGGCCGGTGCGATTATGCGTTTTTGCACTTCTCGTGCC